TCCTTCTTCGCTCATTCGAAATCGCTGAAATCTAGGTATCAAAAACGGCGTCTGACGCAGAAATCAAAAGGGAGTATAGAAGAATGGCTCTACAGCTCCATCCAGATAAGTGTAGGGCTCCTCATGCAACAGAGGCTTTCAAAGGTCATTATATGTTTGTTTATTGAATTATCTAGGTGTTCTAGTTTCCGAGTGTGTATTATCGCCGTTGTAAAAACAAAGAACTAAATCAAGCAGGAACGTCTACTTTCTGTTTGTGGTCACAGAATCATGCTGATGATTCTGTTCTTTTAAGCTTTGGGTAATGCATACGCGGTCTTATCTAACGAAGAAAAGCGAAAGCAGTATGATTTGTATGGTACTGATGGAGGAAATGGAAACAATGTTAGCAGTAGAGGACAAAGAGGAGACTTCTTTGAATACGATTATACACATGGATTTGATGGTTTGTCTTACTAGAAGATTCAGCTTCCAAGATTGTTTCTGGCATTTTCTTATTATTTATTACATTTTTCCAGCTGAATTTACACCGGAAGAAATTTTCAATATGTTTTTTGGTGGTGGGTTTCCTTCAGAATCTGTACGAAGAAGGGGACATACCTTCCATCACAGTGCGCACCAAAGCACACGGAATCAAAATGAGGTAGACTAACCTTTGTAGATATGGTACAGATATTCATTGAAACCAGTCTTCAGAGTCCTTACACTCCTCTCCTTCAACTTTTGCCACTTATTGCTATTCTTGTCCTTGGTCTTCTAGCACAGCTTATGGTTGGCGATCCAGCATATTCTTTACATCACTCAAGGTTAGTTTCATTAAGGTCCAATATTCTTTGAGTTGAATATTGCGTAATCTTCTAAATTCTGGATGTAATAGTTAAGTTTGTCGGCTATGGAGCTTGCGAATGCCACATTTTGTGTTTTTCTTTTGGGCCTTCTCACAGAGTGAATGCTTTGTAATTGTTAGTTGCCTTTGAGCATTGGGTGACTTTATAACGATAATTCTAATTGGCACCCTTGGTGGGCATGTGGGCCCAACTTCCAAATCCCCTCTCCGCCTAACATCGTGGAATACCAACAAAAAAAAAAACAGTGGTGATAATCCTTTATCGGACAATGATAGAAACTTTATTGAGAATTATCTAGCTGTAAAGACCGATTTATTTTTAAATGTTAAAAAACTCCTTATTCACGGTATATGTGCAAGACGTCTTCTACAAGACTATCTGAATTGAAGGGAATTGTTACATGCTAGCTTGGTTGAAGTTATAGAATATCTTTAAAAAATCAATTTTTATCGGGATATGTGTTCGTTTTGACTTTACTTTTTTCGACGACTTCGTGATTTTGAAGGAAGTAGGCGAAGAGAGTGTAGTTGCTTATGTTTATACGGCGAGCTATGTACGAAGCGTGCCTTAGACTACCAGCTAGCAATAGCTATCGTTCATAAATTCGCTACCTATGAGTATTCATACATCTTCTGCTTCGCGGCAAACGCCGAAAACTCTCTTGACAGAATTTGGCAAGTCCTTTTTCTCAGTTGTGTTTGAGCAATTCATTAGCTCTTTTATTTATTAGAACAGAAACTAAGGTGTAGTCGTTATACGGATCGGGACATGGCAGGTCTGTCTCAGTACTGTGACAGCACGGGTGGTTTGCGCCACCGCCGCCGCCGAGCCTGTGGCAGCCTTGTCTTGGTCCCAGCTGATTATTTTAAATCTAGCGGTATGAGTTTAATGCATTTGAGGAGTACAAGCACCACAAAAAGGTTTCGTGCAGTGTTTGACTACA